TGCTGCGCGTTTAATTTGTGTCGGGTAAGAAAACATTACAGCGCATGTGTGGTAGCAGGTTAGAGTGAGCCAGGACGGCAATGGAAATGTGCGCTGTAGCAGCAAATAGTTTTTTGACCGTGACATCTTTTGTTTGTATGTACGAGTCAGAAATAAATCTGAACAGCTCACATTAAGAAGTGGAAGAATTATTTTTTCGAAGCTTGGGACAGAAATTCGCCACTACAGGGTATTACAGACAACTTGTTCCTTTTTTGCAATTCAGATCAGCTTCATGAATCACTAAATTCCACTGAAGTTGTTTAACCATAAAAACCAGAAGTTTACCTCTAATTCCACTTTAAAGGGAGGACAAATAACCACAGACAACTCCCAACAGAAGTCACACTCAGCACACTGTGTTTAATAATATCCACAGTAGTCACTGTAGTATTATAAGTAGTAATACAAATCCAGGCAATACCTTTTCTAAAAATTGTTAGATGTTGCACAGCTGGTAGTTGCAATCCAATCTTAATCTTAATCCAATAATACAAGTTGCTTCCGTACGTTTTTTGGGCGTTAACTACTCCCTCAGTTTTCAGCCGATTTTCTCAGTTTATACTTCTGCTGTTTCTGCTATGACTTTTGGTGCTCATAACTTCTATACTTTTTGAGATATTGAATTTTTTATGCAATATTTTTTGCCCATTTCTTCCACATTATCAGTCTGGTCACTAGTTTTCCTTGCCCGGTTGAGCTGTGTTTTAGCTCAGTGAGATGAGCAGCCGTTCTCAGACTGGGAGGCCCGGGTTCAAATCCTGCTTATGGCAACATTTCTTTCAGTTAACAGTTAAACTTTTTTAACTCTTTTCAACATAAATTTCAGCTTTTTCACCCCTTTGCAGCAAAATTTTCCGTTTTTTCTGCTGTTTTCAGGAAAAAAACTCTTTTCAGCAGAAATTCTGCTCATTCACCTCTTTCCAGCGCAACGTTCTGCTTCTTTCCATCTTTTCTGCAGAAATTCTGCTCATTCAACTCTTTTCAGCAGAATTTTCAGAATTTTCACCTCTTTTCAGCCCAAATTCTGCTTATTCACCTCTTCTGCAAAATTTTCAGCCTTTTCACCTCTTATCTGCACAAATCTCAGCACACTGGACTTGCTTTTTGCTTGTTGTGAACGGGTATGTTACAGCCAATCTATAGAGAAATATTTTTGATACTGTTTCAGTTATTATGTTACA